GTGCCCCCCGGGAAAGCCTCGCTGGAAAGAGGCAGCGGAAGCAAGAAGGGGAGGTGGAGCGGGCGGGAGGAGGGGTGGGGAGGGTCGACCGGGGCACGCAGGGCGCCGGGGAGAGCCAGCCCCGGCACGACGCGCCAGCTCCGAGAGTCCCTCGGGACCTCCGGGATGCCGGTCCTCCCACCCAAGTGCTTGGTCAGCCCCTTCCTGACATCGCATGGCGTCGCGCCGTCGCGCCTCTGCGTGCCACCAAAGCTGCGTCGCCGGCAAAAAGACACGGATTTCGTGCTGCCGAGTTGCGCGCAGCTCCTCCGGCCGCAGCACACAGTCACCCCGCGGGGCAGCTCCCGCCGCAGGGTTCCCACGAGCATCGCCCCTCCTGCTCCCCACCGCCACCACTGTCCCAGCAGGCATCTTCCCCGACAAATCGTAGAAATCTCGGTTTAATACGCCCTCCTGCTCTCGCCACCTCCCAGTCTGCTCCCCGATACCTGTTTCCACCAGCCAGGCGCAGGGAAATCACGGTCTGCGACGTGCTGGTTCACCGCGGACAGGAGCGGTTCCCGTTCCCCTGCAGCAACAGCCCGGCAGGTCACGGCACCGGCAGCGCCTGGGCGAAAAACAGCCCAGGGCTGCTTGCCTGCGTTTGGGGTTGTTGCTGTCAACAACAACTCGTGATACGTCGGTTTTCCGACGTTTCGAGCGCCCATACGGGTAAAAGTACCGCAATTTCGGCGTTCATTGTCCGTCACCCGTGCAACTGCTCACCTCACGGTGCAATGGGAAGGGGCCAAGGGAGCTTGATAAGGGAGCGCCAGGAGCCCTGTTAAAACCCGGCTGTGGCCGAGAAACACAGAGACACAGCGTCCAGGTGTGTCCCACAGCCGAGACAGGTAAGGAAGGGACGGCGATGTCTGGGAAAGAAACCAGACTGGGAATTCCGGATAAGCGTTCATTCGCTTATTGAGAGAAACGACAAGGTTATCCATGCCCTGCAGAACTGGCTCAGAAATGTTGCGGCTCGATAGCTGTTACCCCGCTGCTTGTCGTGGCTGAGCGCGTTGTGGAAAGGCTGCAAATCACCCGCCCCAACGTGGGAGGCAAGACACCCGCCAGAGCGACAGGGACCTCGACTCTGGCTATGTGTCCTCGCCCTGCACAGTCCTGTTAACTGCCTTGAGCACACGGGATCCACCCAGAGACGCAGTATTTCTGCGCTTATATGAAGAGTCAACAATATAAACTGCCGGCACAGTCTTTCCTCTCTACATGCCCAGCTATTTCCTTTCCTACCGAATAATCGTTGCCGAAAGATAAACCGTACCAGCACTACTTACCATTCTTACCACCAGTTCACAGAATGTGACGAAAGTGTAGGCTTCACACCGATAAAATCCAACATTAGCCATCTGTTCGTATTTTAACCGAATTTAATTCTGGAGCGATTTAAAGATTGAGAAGGAAAACGATATGCTTTACCCACCGCAGCTGCATCCTGCACGTAAGTACACATTATGCCTCTCTCTCCGTTTTGGAGCACTTCTGTAACAAGCCGTGTCTGCAGGCTCACAGTGTTGGGAGCAGATTTCTATTCTCATAGGCCCTTAAGCAACAAAATCCCGATTACCTTTCTTTCTTACATACAATCTACTAAGAAGAAAATCCGCAGCTCTCTTGGAGATAAATCTTGAAACAGTCTTCAGCCACTTACTTTCTCTGAAATAAGCTCTGAATCTCTTTTCCAACCACTGCCCATTTCGTGTCTTTCCTAAACTCTGTTTACTAAGCAATTTCTCTAACGTGCATATCGCAAGGAGTTTTTCTTCATATGAGTGCACACATGACCCGTATTCACAGTACCTTGTCCGCTTAATCCCAGCAGCAGTAGGATGGGCAAGCAGTGGAGAGCTGAGTACAGCGAAGAGATCTCGGGAAAGGCATGGAAGACTGAACACTTCCACCTCCCGTATTTCGACTGATCTGGAGACATTACGTCTCCTTCACTTTGAAGGGAAGCCCGAATATTGAAGGCGACGCCTCGAAGCTCCTGAAAGCACCATTTCCAGGGAGAGGAGTGCAAACGTGTGACAGCTAAGGGGAAAGGCGCCTGCACCAGGAATTCCTTCGGGGACGGGTTCAAGCCAAACCCCAGCCAGAGCCGCTCACTCCGGCGCTATTCCCGGCTCCGCCGGGGCTCCAGAGGAGCCTGTGGCAACAGCGGGCCCAATGCACTCTCTGTTCGGCTCCGGGCTCGGTGCTACAGTGAGGCACCAGCCCCGGTTCCCCAGACGGAGGTGAAATGTTAAGTCACGGGTGTACACAACATCTTCCTTTGAGGGATTCAGAATATGAAAAGAACCGAGCTGAAAGGGAAAACAGAGGACTACAGAGTCGCTGCCCTCACTGAGTGAACAGTCCGGGATAGATCACACATCGTTACCACAGGGAAGTGCTTAAATCTGGCAGAGACAATAAATTAAGCAGTCACTAGAGCAAGACGAAAGTGTTGTCTCAGCTTCAGACCCCAGGACACTTTTGCCCGCGCTCCACCCCATGTCCACACCACCACCCCGGCTCGGTGAAACTCGCACCTGGAGTAGGACAGACAGACAGCAGTACTGACAACATAGCGTCGCTCCTCGGGGCACAACCGACAATTCGCGGATGAGACTGGGCAGGTAAAAAGGCAGAGTCAAGAACACACATACACACACACACACACACCCCCACCACCACCACCACCACCCCCCCCCCGAGCTATTGAGCAGTGCGCCGGGAGAGGACGTTGAGCTCTGCCGGTTTCTCACCGATCCCCGGCTGGGAAGAAGAAGATTCACGCAAGTCCGCAGAGAGGGACCCCAGGACAGAAGCTCACCTGTGCCGAGCTCTCTGGGCTGGGAGGGTCCTTCCCGGAATGAGTGCCTGAGCCGGGTTTCCCGGCCAGGAGACGGTCAGACAGCGCTGCCGCCCCTGGTCTCAGAAATGTGAAGTCCTTCTGGCCCGATTCGGAGGCTAAACACACCTCGTAGGAGTAGGGCAAGGGCAGCGTGCTGCTGCAGTAGTTGTACGGTGCTTTTGAGCCCAGGCTGGAATACAGTTCCTTATCAGAAGTTATAAAAACGGGAGGGCTCCTCGATCGTCGGCATTTAAAGAACAATATCAAAATGACTGTCGAAACGAATAACAAGGACACGACAGCGAGCGCCACTACAAGAATGATGTTTAGATCAGATGTCAGCTCGGACACAGCGTCTTTGTCGCTCAGCTCCGGCAGCGCCTCCTGCAAGCTCTCGGCCAGCACCACGTGCAGCGTGGCCGTGGCCGACAGCGCCGGCTGCCCGCGGGGCCTTCCCCCCCCCACCC